GGGGACCAGCCAGCGGGCTCTGCGGCGGGCTACGACGAGGGCGAGGCCAGCGCGGGGGAGGGGGAAGAGGAGCGCTGCCGGCGTGAGCGCGAGGAGGCGCGCAAGCAGCAGCAGCAGCATCAGCAGCGCGAGCAACCGCCGCCGCCGCCGCCGCAGGGTGCGCCGCCGCCGCGGGAGGAGGAGCAGCGGCAGCGGCAGCAGCGGCGGCGGCCGCAGCAGGAGTGGCGGCGGCGTGCTGCCTCGGCGCCGCCCCGCGAACGGCCGCAGCCCCGCCCTGGCCCGAGTGGCCCGATCGGCAGCTCGGACGCGGACAAGTACGTCCGGCAAATAATCCTGGCTGCCGACGATGCGTCGCACGCCTCCGAGCGCGCGAGGCTGGCCGCGATGCTGGACATCGCGCCGAACAGGGACGCGAGGGCCTTCCGCATGTCCTACTTTGTCATCATCAAGGCCATCCACCCGGACAAGTGCAGGGAGGCCACCTACCTGTCGTGGTACGAGCTGGCCACCAAGCTCCTCAACGGCCTCTATGACACCGTCAAGGCACGGCTTTGATGCCGCTTGCTGGGCGGTTGCGGGTTGGACGAGCCCTGCTTAGAAGGAAAAGGTTTTCTGCAAGGTCCGTATGGCTCACCGTGTAGTCGGCCGGGTGCTCGCCTCGCCTCTTACTAGGCGCGCCTGATGATCCACCAGACGCACTGGGACGGAGAGGCGGTGTCCTTTGCAGTAAAAAGTGATTTTTCTTTTCGTTCTTCACGGCACACACACAGCCACACACAGTGACATCCCAATTCCCATTGGTTGTCGTCGTCAGTGAGAATCGCCGGCCGCCCCCCTCACGCGATGTCCCGATTCCGCGCGCCGTCGCCGCGAGCGTGCCGCTCCCCGAGCTGCCGAGGAGAGAGCGGGCATGGCACTCCCTCCCCAGCCCGCAAGGCGGCCCACCCCTGCCCCCTCAGCCGCCCTGCGTCGCGAGTCCGCCGTGGTGCTTGCGCTGCTTGACGACGCGGTCGGCCATCCAGACCATCACGCAGTGCAGGCCGACGAAGAGCGGCGCGAGCGCAGCCTCGAGGAGGGGCCTCGCGCGAGGGTAGTGGCCTAGGCACAGCTCTCGGCTCTTTGCGGGCCGCTTCCCTCTCTCCTTGTCCTCAGCCTCGAGGGTGGCGACCCCACGCTCGAGTGACGAGCAGGTCGCCTGCCGGCGCCAGAAGGGGAGGGGAGGGGGTGGGGTGGGGTGGGGGGGGGGGGGGAGGGGTCGCGGGGTCGAGGGTGCGGGAGAGGGAGGAGGCAAAGGCCAGGAGGGCGAGGGCACCGAAAAGGTCGGGCGAACCGAGAAAGTAGCGGCCGTCCGCAGGTCGTCGAGGAGGCGGCTTGCCGCGGTGTGAACAGCGTCTCTTCCACCTCGAGCTGTGTGACTAGGTCTTGCCACCTGGTCCCGTCACAATTCCGCCTCGAGGCGCTCGTCGCAGCGGCGGAGGGGAGAGGGCGGAGCGAGAGGGAGGGGAGGGGGGCGGAGCGAGGGAGGGGAGGGGGGCGGGGCGGGGAGGGGGGGGGGGGGGGCCAGGGACCCAGGGAGGCGGCGGAGGGAGGTGCGGGAGGGGGGGGGGGGGGGTGGCTCGCGGTCCTAGTCTGGCGGGAACCTCGCGTGATCTCGCGTGATCTCGGGGAGGGTTTGGCCGTCTCGCGGCAGTCTCGCCTTGTCCGGCGGGAAGAGCTCGTTGAACATCTCCGGCCAGATGTGCCGCGTCTCGTACGGCTTGGTCTCTTGCTCCTTTTGGAAGCCTGCGGCGTGCGGCGAGAGGCGGCTTGCCAGGTCCTGGCACAGAGAGGCCTCACCGCATGGGCGTGTCGTGGGCGTGTCGTGGGCGTGTCGTGGGCGTGTCGTGGGCGTGTCGTGGGCGTGTCGTGGGCGTGTCGTGGGCGTGTCGTGGGCGTGTCGTGGACGTGTCGTCGGCCTCACCTGGTGTGTCCATGTCGGGGGGGAAGGCGATGTGGAGCTGCACCGCCGTGTCCGCGTACCTACTCGCGCATGGCCCGGAGTGAGAGCGCGAGGCGCGGCGGCGGCCCCGCCGCGCTGCGCCGCACTCGTTGCGCAGCACGTCGAGCAGAGAGCGGCACGCAGCCTTGGAGGGGGCGTACGCGGCGTACCCGATGAAGGGGACGGCCGCAACCATCGACGCGACGGCGACGAAGTGCGGCGTCACGCTCGGGTCGGCGGCCGACCGCTCCGCCATCTTCGGCAGCACGTGCCTCGCCGCGTGCAGCACGCCGTAGTAGTTGACGGTCATCATGCGCTCGTAGTCGGCGATGCGGAGCTCCTCAAAGTACTTCGGCATCGCCGCCCCCGCCGCAGCGATGCACACGTCCACCGGACCGAGCTGCGACTCGGCCTGCTCGATCGCCGCGCCGAGCGCGGCGCCGTCGCCGACGTCGCCGCTGAAGACGCCCACCGCGGCGCCGGGCGCCGAGCTGGCGAGCTCATCGCGCGCAGCGTGCAGCTTGCTCATCGTGCGCGCCACCAGCGAGACGCGTGCGCCCCGTGCCGCGGCGATCTTGGCCACCTCGAGGCCGACGCCCTCCGAGCCGCCCGTGATGAGCACGTGCTTGCCTGAGAGCGACTCGCGCCGCCGCCGGCTGCCGAGGAGCAGTGGCATCGACACGGCCGCCGCCACACCCAACGCCACCCAGACGAGTGGCTGCGTCGCGGTGATGGCGGCCCACGGGAGGATCGACGCCATCGGCCGAGAATGCCAGAAAAGAATTTACGAGCACCTCTGTAGCCCGTAGCCCGATACCGATCATCCGGCTCGCTGGGTGCGCTTCTCAGCTCCCCGGCCCTGGATGTGAGGTTAATGACTGCACTCCAAGTGCTCCAAGTGCTCCAACAAAGCTCCCTCGCACAACACTGGGCACGGGACTGGCTCGCACTGGCACTAACACAGGTACACGAAGAGAATCCTCGCATCTCGGGCAGGTGTGGCGCGCACTGGCACTAACACAGGTACACCACGGGAGCCGCCTAAGCGACTCCCGCGAGGGCGGCGAGGCACTTAGCTCCGTGCACCCGCCCGCCCCCGCCACAGGCGCAAGCTCATTCACAACCTGCTCTGCGATTAGGACAAAAATCTTTTTAAAAGGACACATGGGGCTATCCGCTAACTAGCTCTATTAGACTCTAACTCAGAAACCCCCCCTGCGCTCTTTGAAAAAAGAAGACGGGTTTAGTCGTGTAAAATTGCTAAAATTCCTCTCTCGCCGGCCTCCCCGCCGGGGGGGTCGGTCCCACCTCGCAGGGCGGCCCCAGGCTCACATGACCTGCCGCGTGGAGATCGGCCCGTAGCTGGGATCGGGGGTGTGGTACTCGTTGCGGTGGTCGTAGTCGGTGCACGCGCGCCTGTGGCACGGATGAGCAAAGAGATGCAGGCGTGTGAGTGCGGGTTGTAGGACACCTTGATCTCGCGTTTTCGCTCCCATTGAGCTCTCTGCAAGCCTCTCCTGGGCATTGAGGTATGCTACCATGTCCACCTGACAGCCTCCAGGCGGCGGGGTCACGACCCAGCCCAAGCAACACATTCAAAACCGACCCGGAGACGTACCCGCAACCGCTTGTCCTTTACGCCCGCTAGTCCTCATCACTGTCTACAATCACCTGCCGCTTGCGTAGGGGGGGGGGCTGCAGCCTGGGAGGAGGGCGCTGCAGGCCGCTTGGCACCTTTGGACACGCGCCCAAGCACTCCCTTCACCGTCTTCTTCACTATGAGCCCGCCCGGTTTTGAGCGTGCGTCCCAGTCGCTGCAGCGGCTCTGTCAGCGGACCAATCTTGCGGTAGCGGCGATCAACTGCTGCTGCTTGGCGTTGCGCCTTCGGGGAAGGATGTGGTCCTCCTCTGTCAGCTGGCTGTTGGTGGTGAAGATGCGTGGCGTGTACTGCGGGAGGGTGCCATTGTTGTAGCGAGCGGCATTTGATGCGCTCGCTTGGCGGTGAGCTGGCTCAGCACGTCTTCATTCGAGAGCTCGCCGCGGCCGAGTGCGGCGTACGTCAGGTGGTAGTTGCGGGCGGGTTGATGACGCTCACGTCGGCCGGGGCACCACCCACTAGCTGCATGATCACCGGCTGGTCACTGATCACCGATCACCGGCCTTTGGAGAGTTTTCTAGGAGTTACTTATTCAGACGGTGATCGGTGATCAAGTTTCGGCGGCACGTAACGTCCAAAACAAGGCCACGACTGTCGTCCCCCGGCACCACCGGGCACGGGGAAGTCGCGAAGGGCAAGTGGAGTGCGGGAGGTACGACTGGGCCGGCGAGCGGGGGCGCGCGTGGCGCCCTTCATGAACCTGTCCTTTTAGTTAGGACAAAAATCTTTTTAAAAGGACACATGGGGCTATCCGCTAACTAGCTCTATTAGACTCTAACTCAGAAACCCCCCCTGCGCTCTTTGAAAAAAGAAGACGGGTTTAGTCGTGTAAAATTGCTAAAATTCCTCTCTCGCCGGCCTCCCCGCCGGGGGGGTCGGTCCCACCTCGCAGGGCGGCCCCAGGCTCACATGACCTGCCGCGTGGAGATCGGCCCGTAGCTGGGATCGGGGGTGTGGTACTCGTTGCGGTGGTCGTAGTCGGTGCACGCGCGCCTGTGGCACGGATGAGCAAAGAGATGCAGGCGTGTGAGTGCGGGTTGTGTGGAGTCGGGCGGGGCGAGCGTCGCAAACGCCGGCAACGAGCGAGGGTATGCATAGAGATTGAGAAGTGCTCGCGGCCCGCCTGATGTGGTCGCAGGCCCAGAGAAGCTCCTCGAGGCAAATGTTGATCTTGTCGAGCAGGTAAAGGCTCAGCGTGGGCCGTTGCGACGCCTGGTCCTCGAGCGATGAGCGGCGTCCGGTGAGCGTCATGCCGATAGAGTTCACTTGCACATTCTCGTGCTGGTTCTCGGACCCCTCGGTGAGCAGCCGCCGGCACGAATTGCCTGACAGCGAGATCAAGACTAATGTCGCAGCTGGTCTACCCCTGTGTACCCTGCCGCGGCGTGCGCACCGCGGAAGACACTCTGCAACATGATTGCCGAATCCCGTTTGGACAGAAAACTGCGCCGTCCTGATCGCGCCCGTGACGCCGCTTGGAAAAGCACGGCGGCGGCATCTCGCCGGGCCTGCTCGACGTACGCCAGCACCGAAGCGATCGCCGAGGGGCTGCGAACTGGCAGGTTGGGCCGCATGTCGGAGACGGACAGCGACCGAGCAGCAGCTGGCGGGTCGGGCATTTCGCAGCCGGCGAACAGTGACCGAGCAGGACCGAGCCCCCGTTGGGACGCCGTGGAATCAAACAAAAGAATTCAATTGTGTTTTATTTTTTCTTTTCTTGCATTTTTGCTCCCGGCTAAGGGAGCAAGCAAGCCCACTCAACCCCAAGTACTCACCATTCTTACAGTGGTGTAGCTTGTGCAGAGGCTGCAGCCTCTGCTGGGGCGGAATGCGCGGGGTTTTCGGCGCGATGCCCTCGGCGAGTACACGCTACTGCTGTGCCGCACGCTCTCCTGCGCGCGCGTGACGTGTGGGACGCGTGCGCTGCGCTCAAACGTCGCGATTTGGCGATAGGCGCTCGAGCCGGCGCACAGCGGGCGGGTGCGCCGCGCAGGGGGGGTCGGAGGGGTGCGAGAGGGGGCGTGGGTCGGGCGCGCACCGGCTGGCTCCGGGAGCGGCCGTCACGTCGAGGAGTGGGGCTGTCGGCGGCTCGAGCGCCGAGGCGAGCCGCTCTGCTGCGCCGCCGACAGCCCCTCTTCCGAGCCGGCGCGTGGAGGCGAGCCGCGGCCGGTGTCGCTGGTGCGGGGGCGGCGAGGGTTCATCGGCCGGCAGCGAGAGCGACCGTCATGAATCGCGCCACCAAGACCGCGCGGCACGTACGCGCACTTGCCGGCCTCGAGGCGCGCTCTCCTTGCGCGGCATGCCCTGTGTGTGTCAGCGCTTCGCCTCGGAGCCGCTCGACTGTACGAGAGTCGGGCTCCGGCCCTCGGTACCACGGCAGCGTCGGCGTGCTCCCTTCCGGCCGCGACAGGCGCGAGGCGGGTGGCGGTGCGGCGGCTGCTGATGCTGCTGCCGCGCAGAGCTGTCGTGCACCCGAGAAGTGGCACACAGCTCGAAGGCGGCGTCGGCGACCGCCGCGCTGGCTCTCTCTCCTCGGCAGACGCCGCGTCGCGTCTCGGCGGCGGCAGCTGCTTCGCCGCGAGAGTAGCGAGGCGACGCACGCGCCTCCGCTCTGCGGCAGCAGCCTCTAGCGAACGCGCCGGCATAGCGCCGGGCCGGGCGAGGGCGAGCCGAGAAACACGTTGTGACGGCCCTCGTGTGAATCGCTTATCCGGCGCTCGAGGAAATAACACGGTTCGGGCTTCAAGTTACTTCGAAACCTGTAACGGCTAACGGCGAAAGAAAACGGAGGAAAACGCGAGAAAAGAGAAGGGCTATTGCTCAAACTCCGTCTCTCTGAGAAGAATAGGTGTGCTGCGCTGTAGCGGCGACAGGCGACGGCAAAAATGCAAGCCCCGCCCCTGGCCACTGTCGGGGAAATTTTTCTTCTTTCGAGAAGGGCCAGGAATGGAGACGGACCGGTGGTGCTCGAAGAGGAAGCGGAGCGCGTCGGCGTGGCCGTTGCCAGCGGCGAGGTGCGCTGGCGTGACGCCATCCGCCATCGCAGCCGTCAGCACCTCTCGCCCACACTGCTCGACGAGGACGCGGAGCGCATCGACGTGGCCATCCTGAGCGGCCAGGTGCGCTGGCGTGCCGCCCTTCTCGTTCGCAACCGTCAGCACCTCCGCCTCCGCCTCCGCCTCCGCCTCCCACCGCCTCCGCCTCCGCCTCCGCCTCCGCCTCCGCCTCCGCCTCCGCCTTCGCCTCCGCCTCCGCCTCCACCTCCGCGACTGCTGCCTCTGTCGCAGGCGGCGGGCCGCGGGAAGTTGGGCGATTCCACCACCAGTAGCACGGCGGCACTGCCTCCGCCGCCACCGCCTCCGCCGCCGCTGCCTCCGCTGCCTCCGCTGCCTCCGCCTCCGCCGCCTCCGCCGCCGTCGCCTCCGCCACTGCCTCAGCCTCCGCCTCTGCGATCAGAGCTGCGTCCGTCAGACGGTGCTTGTCCGGGTGAACAGCCCGAATACGTTTGAGGAAGGCGCGCTTCAACTCAGAACCGTCCACGAAACGACTCACCGGCAAGCCGAGCGCCTCAAAGTGGTTCGCCGCGAACACCACCTCGCGAATGGCCGGAAGGAATTCGTTCATCTCGGCCTCGGAGACAACAGGGGTGGCAGAGCTTGGACGGCTCTCGCCTATGACGCACGAACGGAGCCCCAGCTCGTCCTTGAATTCCTTGCGCTCAGAGAGCTCCAACAGCTTAAGCGCATAGGGCAAGTCGAGCTCGAGGCACAGAATGATCGAGCCGCTCCGTTTCCAGAGGTTGGTCGGACGCCGTCGCCAAGGGGGAGTGTGTGTCGTCGCGTGTCCTTGTCTGGTGTTTACTAGCTCCGAGTAGAGGGGGCGTTCTGCTGCTAGGGGAAACCCGGAGCGCGGTACTAACCCTCGGAGACCTGTGTTTACTTTACGCATTACGGCCCTTTCCCTGCGAACGCGCACCCCCCAGGGCTAGGGCTCTCTTGCCCGCAACCCGATGCCAATCATCCGGCCCGCTGGGTGCGCTTCTTAGCCGCTCGCCCTGGACCCTGGCCCGCCTGGATGTGCGGTTGATGACTGCACTCCAAGTGCTCCAAGTGCTCATAAAAATAAACGAGGCCTCGTTCACATATCACAACTCTCCTGAGACTCTCACAGTCGGGAGGAACTGTGGCTCAAAAATACATGAATACTATGTCTGGCGTCCAGTACACCGTCTACTTCCACGGGTGGGTCCCCTCAGGCGGGCACCCCGGCACGCTCCCCGCCTCCCCACCAGGCCGAGCTCCACACCGCGCGCCAGCGCGACTGGCGGCCGGCCCACGCCTTTTGCGAGCGGCGCAAGTGGCGGAGCACCAACGCGTTGACCTGCTCGCTGGCCTCTACCACGCTCATGTGGTTGGCGTCGAGCATGTGCAATTCGGCGCCGAGCAGCCGCGCCATCGCCTACTCCCCGCTGGAGGGTTGAAAGGGGGGGGGGGGGGGGCTTTTGAAACCGAAGAAGGCCGGAAGGCCGGAAGGCCGGAGGGAGGGGCTTGAGCGCCGTTGGGAAGGAGGGAGGGAAGGCCCCAAAGCCCTGAGGGGGGGAGGGAAGAAG